TTAGAGTTTTGCTCCATCTTGCTCCCCAGGATTTTAGCTTTCAATCACACCAGGCACCAATGTAATGAGTATGGCTCACTGTCGCTTGTAGAGCACCACAAGTAATGGAATAAAATGGTATTGTAATAGGAGTATTGCGGATCAGTCAGAAGAGGCAAAGAGCATGGCATTTTAGAGATTCTGGTTCCCAGAGTCACTGAAATATTTCTGAACTACTGCTATTCCATGATTTTGTTGATATATAGATGCATGTATCATATGCCCATATCAGTATCTATTTTAATATAGCACACTTCTATATTGTCCTCTATCTAATATGCTTCTACCTGGCATTTCAGGCTGGAAACACATGTAAAAGCATAGACTTGGGTCTGAAGATGTTACTATCTGCTGAGAAGTACAGGGGAAGATGCTATTTGAAATGTAGAAATTGTGAGCTGGGCTAACCCAGAGGTGGTCAATGTCTAGACCACTGGGCCACTGCAATCCTTCAACACCTCCCCTCACCTTTTGAAATCCCTGGTCATGTATCCAAACCCAGTATCCACTCCATTGAAATCATGCAAAGTGGCTCCCTCTACTTCCAGAACAGAAGGAGATGCTGTGCTCTGAAAATTGCTCTGCAAGGTTGTATGATGCAGGGCAGTGGTGTTGCCACCCCCAGTGTCACCCAGTGCAGGGGGCATGGCTGCAAAGGTGTGTGTGGAAAAGGCCACCCTCATCCCTTCTCCTTCACTGCAGTAGTGGCAGCCTCCTCACAAGGTGACCATTCCTGAGGAGTCTGCCGCTGCGGGGAAGCAGGGCTGGGGACGTTTGGCCTTTTTACCCAGCAGTGGTGATGGCTGCTTATAAGGAACCATCGCCCCTGCCACAGGGAAGCAGGGCTGGGAGTACTCGCCTCTCCCCCCAGTGGGGGGAATGGTCTGATCAGGTGTTACTCTTCTTCTGAGGTGTCACCCAATGCGGGCTGCACCACCACATCCCCCAGTGATGCCACTGATGCAGGGGAATACTTTGGCATCCTCCCTCACTGGATCATAGAAAGCTGCTACAGTTTCAAGTGAATTGCATGTGGTGGTAGGTATAGCAGTAGTAGGAACCACTGAATTGTGTCAGTAGTGGCAGCACCATGAAACCTGTTTCTGCCTATTCACACATGCATTTGAAGAGAGGGTTCCCAGTGTGATCTTCTAATCTCAGACACTTGCCCACTCCTGCTCTAACAGCTCTCACCACATGTTCAGAACAGTTAGCAGATGCAAGTTGTCTGTGTGCATGTTTTAGAATTCCAGTTCTCTTACAGTCCAAGTGCATTATGTTCCCATTAGCCCCGACTTATAATGGGATATAATAATATGATTGTGTTTGCCTAAAATGGTTCTTCAGTATATACTTCTAGACACTAATAAATGCATTGCCTGAATTGACTTATCAGGACCATTAGTAGCTTTTAAGATGCACTCAGCCACTAGCTTTAATGATCATGTAAGTGAAAATGAAACTCAAGCACTCTTGAGTACCACAGTTGATGGAATGACAACCTGTACTTAAGATGATGAGAACATGTACTTAGTGTAGAGCAGTACACTGTAACTCATAAGGTCTTCCAAGGCCTTGACAATCCTGCAAGAACAGTGCCTTTGTCATATAGTCTGCCTGTCTAAATTCACTAGGGATGTAAACATTGCTTTTTGTTATCCTCTCTTGTTAAATGACAGTCCTGGTTTTATTTGGAGGGCACTTTAGAAAAAATATTTGTTGGTGTTTATACATATATACCATAGTGCAATGCCATCCTTCCCACATATACACCCCCTTATTGCCTAGCCTGAATTATCTAGCAGCTAGGGATGGAAAGAATATTTAAAAATATTTTAAAATGGTTGAAAAATGTGTTTCTTGAGTGTAGGAGAAATACTGGCAGAGGGAATTCTGTACTGTTAAGAATATTCACAATTAAACTCCTATTCTTCCCAAAATTTGTAAATGGGAGTTTTGTGCTGAAAATATTATTTTCTCTGCACAGAAATATTATTCTCTGTCTAGAAAATGATATTTCCTGCACAGAAAATGCTGCTTTCTGTGCAAAATGTATAGATTTTGCAAAGAATAAGTCTTGAACTGAGACTCGTCTTTAAAAACTGCACAGTTTTTGAGGACTTTGTCACACTGGCAAGCAGCATACTAAAATTACTTATTGCTTCCTTTGAAAATAAAATAGCGACAAATTTCATTCTTGCTAGTACCTATCCTATAAAAGGCAGAATGGGCATATAACAGCACACTCTATGTTTACTATGATGTAAATTCAGTTGGTGTTAAATTGGCTTATTCCCTGGTTAGTGGGTATAGTATTGAAGCCCAAATCAATTCAATTGTGCAAACATTAAAGGGAGGGGGAGAACACACAGTCTGTTTATTGAAATAACATTGCTTCACAAGCCAGAGTAAGATGTACTGTCAGAGAGTAAATCTGTACAGCTTAAATATGATCTTTAACAATTTGTCACGGCAGAGGGAGATTTTTTGGCATGAGGACAGTGGTGTAGCTATATGAAATTATCCCTGTTTTTGTCTGTTTAAAGAATATGTTATATGTGCATAAGGAATAGAGATAGGTTGGTCATGTAATGCTGTCAGATTCTTGGAGGAGTGGTCTCTCAGTGGTTCTTCTCAGCCATAGCAGCCAATTACCTAGATTAGGTGGCTATCTAGAAGAAATTATTTTTAGTATAGGCACCAAAACTCGGCATATTCACCATTACCAGGTCTAGCACCAATACTCTAGGAAGATGGTTGTCACTGTAACTGATGGTGGCAGTTAATGCTTGGAGAGGATGGGATGGTACTGAAAGCAACCACAGCTCCACGTCCTCTATACTCTTTCAGTCAGATGCTCTAAAGAGAAATGCTAAACCAGGTGGCCATAGATTCCACTGTATTCCTTATTCCCAGTGTCTCTGGTACTCTCCTGAAAGCACAATCTGGAAGTGGGGCCCAGAAGCCTAAGGGAAAGAAAGATGTCTGCAGCTGTGTTTGCCTTGCCCCATGTTTCTTTTTACAAATGTTGGGCTGGAAGTTAATTACTTTTACCTCCACCACTAGTCCTTCCTGTTGTCTACTCCCAACCAGCCCTAATAAATGGTTAGGGAGGCCACCACCAGTGCTCCAGGCCCCTCAAACTTGGTGCTTACTCTGGTCATTACTGCTCTTCAGTAGCTAGAAATAAGTTTGATGCCCTGTAAAGGTAGGTTAGTCCAGGGGAGGAGAGAGAGAGAGAGAGAGAGCGATATGCCCTGTAAAGGTAGGTTAGAAAGGGGAGGAGAGAGAGAGAGAGAGACAGTTTGTGCTTGGCTGAAGGTCACCCAATCAGTTCCATGGCTGATTTGAATTATCAGCTCAAGTTTCCTTGGTTCTAGTCTGACACTTGAATAATTATACCAGCCTGTTCTATCTCCTGTGATCTTATTCATCCTTTTTCTTTCTTGGTAACCTCAAGTTGGTTGGTTGGTTGGTGAGATGAAAGGAGCAAGTGAAAATGTATCTCCCTTATGGAATACGGGGAAAGCTCAATAATCACTTTTTTCAAGGGGAGGTAGCTTACTATTATTATATGGATATATAGAATGCTCACTAATTTTCTTTTCATAACAGAGAAGAGGTATCTTGACACATCAAAGCCAAAAATGGTTAAGTATCATTCTGGGGGGTGGGGGTGGGTGGGTTAATTTTTTCTACCTCCCCCCCCAGTGAAAATATACCTTTTAAATTAAAGTAGCATTGAATGCTACATCAAATTTGATCCACAGTCCTTTAATCACTTGTTTTTATTTGTTCCTCCTACAACCTGATGCCATCCAAATATTTTGGACTATAGCTTCTGTAAAAAATTCTTGGCTCAGGTTTATTGGCAATGTAATCTAAAAATATCTTGAGGGCATGGTACATAAACAGGCAAATGTTACCTCTTTGTCACATAGAAGAAGCTTGATGGGGCTCATGTGGGTGTATACTGGCAGAAAAAGGGCCAGTGCCACTGTAGAGCTTTGACATCAATGAAGTTACAGTGGTCAAGTCACTGCAGTCAGGGTGATAATGGTGTCAACACCTCTTGTAGTATTGGAGAAGAGAAAAAAACTTTTTTAGGCAAAGTAACAAACATATTTTTGTGTTGAACTGCTGATAAATCAAAGTTCCTGTGTATGTATTAAAGCTGGTAGTTGGGCCCACTGGGATGCTAATGGCGACCTGCTTCTGTGTCTTTAGCATCATTTTAATTGGCCCCAGGTGAAGCTTTCCCCAGCATGGGAGGAAATAAACATTTTTCACCCCTTAATGTCTGTGGCTCAAGCTGATGCTAAAGACGCAGAAAACAGTACTGGCAGTTACCTCCCTCCTTCTCTTACTCCCTGTTCATATGAATTCTGCTTATGTATATATTCATTTCATTGTTGTAGATCAGACTGCAGTCTGTTTTCACATGACCCAGATGGTCTGCTTCTTTTGAGAAGAAGTAAAACTGGGCCAGAGCTTCAGTATTAATGACCAACCAGAGAATCATTGCATTTACTACCTGTGTCAAGCTAAGGCTTTGAAAAGAGTATTTCCTTTGTTCCATGCCAGATGTGGATAAGAACAAGAATTATCCTTCTAACTGATATTCCTTAGTGATCCAAGTGCTTTTAGGAATTACCGTAGTTCTTTGCTGATCTTTAGAAGCTAAGCAGGGCCAGGCCTTGTTAGTACTTGGATGGGAGAACACCAAGGAATACCAGGTGCTATAGATGATATTTCAGAGGAAGGCAATGGCAAACCAGCTCTGAAGAAAACTTGATGAAATTTGTGGGTCATCATAAGTTGACACCTAATGAGTGCTTTTAAAACAAGGATAGAAATACCATATGGTATTCTTGGCAAATTTTGTTCAGAGGGGGTTTGCGTTTGCCTTCTTCCAAGGCTGAGAGACTGTGACTTACCCAAGCTCATCCCATGGGTCTCCATGGCAGAACGGGGATTTGAACCCTGGTCTCCAGAGTCATAGTCCAAAACACAAACCACTACACTACACTGGCTCCTTTGAGTGAATATGGAACTGTGAATAAATCTGATTGGATGCTCCAGTCACACTTGATAAAAAGACTTATCTTTTCCCAATGGAGGTTGATTGGAAGGCAGAATTGTCAACATTTAGTCTAGTTTTCGTATTATCTACTGTTTTTAAATTATAATTACTCATCTTCATTTCTGAAGAAAGAAAAGGCATACATTTGTTTAATACATAAATAAATAAATATTAATAAACAGAATTTATGCATATCTGTTTCTCTATTTTAGCCAGAACACATTGGGTTATTGTGCTAGATGCCTCAGAATTGACAATGCCCAAAATCTTTTGGGTGTCATGAGAACTTTTTATGTGCATGTGCGACCTTTTATGATCATCATTTGGTGGTGGAGGGAGGGTGACAGG